AAACATTTTCATACTGCTTCCAAGATTTTTAGTAGGACAATACGCATACACTAGTGTCACGGCCAACCGAGAGACGACGGGGTGCTATTTTTCACCTTTTCGCATATCGATTTTTTTTTGTGCGGACTTTCGTGAAGAATATACCACTTTAAGTTCCACTGACACCATAATTGCCGCGATAGATACAACTACATACGAATATCCCTGCGAATTCTTCTAAAAGTGGATTGCTTATAACGTCCAGCCTTCCGACACTATGCATTCTTCAATTCTCCGCGTGCAAAGACCCATCTTTAGGGCACTCTAGTTCTAAGTCTGTGTTCGATCGAAAGAAATATCCGTTTGTTGGGCTCAAAAGAGGATTTATCTACAACCCCCCCATTCTACTATATTTAAGGGGAACTTGTCATAATTACATTTCTCTTTTGGGACATTATCCTTTAGGAAATTACAAAGTCTGAAGGAATTAGATTCATGTTAACCTTTTAAAATATACCACGGACGCACAGCTTGACCGGTACAAAATCTTTTGTTTTCTTTAAACCCTCCCAATTTCTCGTTTAATTAGAGAAACAAGTTTTTGTCGGCTCTCTTTGTCCCAAATATCTAGTTATGAATTCTATGTTCGTGTCGATTTTATATCTTGCCCAGCCTTCAAAGTCTGAAAGATAGTCAGAAAGACCATGCGTATTCACCGAGTTTAGCTTAGGACAAAATTAGCTGGGACAAAATTGCAATATTATCCTTCAAAAACTAAATTGAGTTACTAGACATAGGAGTCTAGATTGGTGTGCCGGGCTCATAGTCCCTGCTTATCAATTCCTAAAGAATATCCGGGAATGACAAGACTGAGCCCGCTTCACGGGGACACCCGAAATCTGAGCCGGAGGGATATTTCTACGGAGTGGGGATCATCCCTGCCCCGTGGTCGAAGGGGCATAGATCTTAAACCCTAGATCTCAATTTTCGGCTTGTAGATATGCTGTCCTCCGGTCATTTACATTTTATTACTCATATCAGCATAACTTCCCCTGATTAATATTTTTACCAGTATCTTTCTATTTTAGTCACTGCACGTTAATTCACTTGACTTAAAATAATAGTAATAAAAAACCTGTATGAAGTGAAAAGTGTTGTAACGGTATGTAGAGCTAATGCTAGTGAGAGTACAAGTAATTGTATAAATATGTTTCTGACGGCTCAAGCAGCGATAGTAATTTAAATGGGCTCATTGAAAAAAGTGTCTAATAAATAAAAGGTCTAAGGTCGTGTCTCGTAAGAATAAGGGTCTTAGACCCGCGGGGAGATCTTATCCATAGGAACAGATCTTATATCCGTGTCTTGCTGCCGACAGAGTTGAATGGGATTTGAACCGATAAGATCTCTTTTAGTAAATATATGTGCTAATGGTGCCCCCGTAGGAGAATCCCTACATCCCGCTACGCGGAGATGGTTAACTTACTGTCTTTCACCCAAACGCGCTCGATGACCCAGGCCACAGGGGCCGAATTTCAAATATTTTGGTTATACAATAATATTGAATTACTATATATTCCTATATGTCTAAGAAATCGGGGTTTTTAATCTGCCACTGAAAGGCTTATATAGTGTTAAAAATTCCTAGCAGTTAGTACTCCATGCTTTTATAGTTAAACAAGGCGTATTGTCTAGTCCACTTAGCTTAGGAAGGATTATAGCAGGTTATTCTATCTATATCAGTATGGTGTCATAGTGAATAAGCTTGTATTACAAATTTTTATTCAGTTTGATAGGATCTATGAGTGTGAGGGGACCAGGGGTGACTATAGTGAACATTGAAAGGGTACGATATATTTTGTGCTTGAGATGAGATGTCACTAAGATAACCGACTAGATATTTTACTCTGGATATCAAATACTCTTAGAAACTCAAGTTTAACAACTGACCACTGACCTCTGACCTCTGATGATTAGTCTTTATACTGTATGATAAAATAGAATGTATCTCTTTATCCAAATAATATATAAGAATGATTCAAAGCCAACTTCTGATGCTCGCTGACCCTTATTAGGAACGACAAGTAGACATCCTACAGGCTGAGTGTCATCCGTCAGTGACTAAGCCTGACGGGATCTCCTCTCGAAGAGAGAGGGGCACTCTGACACCGTGCCCTATGCCAAGTTGAGTATATCCAGCCATTTGGTAGAATATACCATCAACTAAACCACAAACCTGATTGTCTATTACCTCTTTTTTTTTCCCGGTGGGTTAAGAATTACAGCATACATAATTTTACTCACTGTCGTGGGGTAGTATATGGTTAAAAGAAAGTCACTAAATGAATAACCTATCCTGGATCTCAGAGATATACTTCCCTTACCTTCCCGTGTATAACCTCACAGGAACTGGGGTCGCTTCTCCATGAGAGGGATAAACTACGCAAAGTGTATATTGTCCAAGTGAATTCAGAGTGGGGAGTAGAGAGAAAATTTGCTTGCCCTCTCCTAAGGGTGCCGACATGTGATTGGCTGTACAGAGGTATCCCCCCAGGGGTATCTTCGTGGCAGTATACTTGAGAAAAAAACTCTGCAATTAGCATACATAATTTTACTCACTGTCGTGGGGTAGTATATGGCTAAAAGAAAGTCACTAAATGAATAACTTATCCTGGATCTCAGAGATATACTTTCCTTACCTTCCCGTGTATAACCTCACAGGAACTGGGGTCGCTTCTCCATGAGAGGGATAAACTACGCAAAGTGTATATTGTCCAAGTGAATTCAGAGTGGGGAGTAGAGAGAAAATTTGCTTGCCCTCTCCTAAGGGTGCCGACATGTGATTGGCTGTACAGAGGTATCCCCCCAGGGGTATCTTCGTGGCAGTATACTTGAGAAATAAACTCTGCAATTAGAGTTCTGGTTTAATTCTAGAATGTGTAAAACTATGGATAGGTAAAATCCCGACCGCTAGCAACAGCACTACAGATACGCCTCTTTCCGCTTTGGGAGCATCCTCAGCTTCCCTAGAGTTCGTATAATAAACTACTAGCTCTTAATTTGCATCTCACTCTGATTAAAGGCCAATTTTGACATATTTTTACATTATGTTTGCTGGTGCGTACACGGGCTAGTATTGAATAAAACTCAATTACACTACTGTGTGTGCACATCTACATTTACGAGTATTTATTGTTTTGTATGTATTCTTGCAAACAAACAGTTTGTCTTGTTGTAAGTAGAGCTTGCTAGTTCAGCAAATAATTTACGGATCGAAACTATACTTTAGCTCTCCGCTCAGCCCATGCCAAAAACCTTAGGCATATAAAACAAGTTTTAATTGTAAACTCGATTAGAGTACCGCCACAATTGATGCTGCACACGATGTACAGATAGTTATGACAGTTGATGTTGCTGAGGGCCTTTGAGTCAATAAATTACCACCCATTCATCTAGTACAGTTCCCGTGCCGGATTTAAGTATTGCCCTGTGACCTTACTTAGATTGTCAGATATCAACACCAAAGAGCTCTGCGCCGTATCAGTCACCATCGCTCTTGTATCTCGTACGTGTCCCAACAGCATTGAACATTTGGTGCGATACAAGGATCACTTGGGGGGATACATTTTGGAAGGCTGAGAAGGATTCTTCCTTGAGTAGCACGTCTAATCACGTCATCTTCCTTATTCGAACTGCTGTTTAGTACTTATTGGAAATCAGCGCACCACAAAATTGTTTGCAGCGCAATTTGCGTTTGTAAGTTACTCTAAAGTTGCCTTGTTTGTCAAACATGATCTAGTATTTATAGACTGCAGCTATCAAAAAATTTACACTGCTCCAAAACGTACATTATGACCTTGATATCTCTCCTGACACCAGTTCATGAGATTGGATTGGCTACAGAAATTCGATAGAAAGTTTGAAAAAATAGAATCACGGCTTCGCAAGCAACACCGTCACTGACAGGATGATATTATTGTGTTTATAGTTTACTGTCATTGATTTGACCTGTTACTATTAGATATAATGGGAAGTTGGCAATAAGCCAAGTATTTTGTAAGTAAATGTCAGGGCTGAAGAAGTTAGTATCGTATTCGCCGAGAAACCCTTACTTACCAGTTTACCACTCTGATCTTGAGAAACATCATCTGTACCTGTAAGAGTTAGAGGTTTGCGAACTATATTTCACCAAGAACAACTCCCAACTAGCAATTTCATTGTGACCTATGTATGTTGTTGTTACGTGTAAGCTAAGCACTTATTGCAGTCACGATTTCCTATGCACTCTTGTGTTGATTCGAAGTGCATTATAACTGATCTCTAAAAGAGATATAATGAAAAACTGCAACGCTTAAGACTTAATCGATTTTTCTTCTTCTTTTAGATAGCCCTTTAAAACGCATACTTTCACTAACAGATTCGAATTTTTCCCTCACTATAAGTCCCTGTACATATTGAATAAACTTATAAGTGAAACTAATGTTGCATTAACGCAAGCAGAGATGGCCATGTTGGCGCATTTCAGACAAGTGTTGTAGCATGTAATGAATATCGAACAATGTTTTATTCCGATAGTTTCAACTAAGTATCTTCGAATAACCAAATCGAACGCAGTCAATCAATCTTGGACTACATAACAACATTATGCATCTTGCAAATGCGTACAACTTCAGGGTCCCACGCAGAACCGAATTCGACCCAGTCATGATACCATGGACTTGACCTTACAACGCATCCATCCCGGGCAGGAAGATCTCAATGTAGCAAACTTGCCTTTATTTATAAATGGCTTGCTGGCGACAACGAATTCTTGAGCGACTAATATAAAAAGCTATCCGAGAAAAAGCTATCCGAGGATGATTGATTTGCGGTGTATAACGCATAAGTTTTGGAATTCTTTTTCGAGGTAGAGCGTAGAGCATCAATTCTATTGATCTACAACAGTATCACTCCAGCTCTATCGATTTATGCAACGATGCATACCAGTGCATCATACTGTTATCGCGACAGGCACTTATAGTATATCACCTGAACCTTGATTTCTTTCTATTGAGCATATCCTTCATCTTTTTCGCTAGTCGCTTCTTAGCGCTCAAATCGGGCACGGATCGGCGCGAAATTGACGGCTGTGATATTAGGCCCCTGTTGATTTCAGACGTAGATACATATTTCAACTATGTACTATAAGAGTTTTGTGAGCATATCGATTGCTACTTCTATATTTACAACTGCTATCATGAATGAACTTACTAATTCCATTAGAAAAATTACAAAGAACTAGTAACTAGAGTACAGAATATGTGAAGGAAATCACCGATCAATATGCAGCAAAGTGATCCACTGTATCATTTGAAGCTCAAAGATACGTCTCTAAGTAAAAAAGTTTGTACAAGGATGATTGTACGCCGACAGGCAGACACAATATCGTCAACTAAAGATATTCTTCCCGCATTCTTCCCACGTACATAATTGTTTAACAGTGTGAATTCTACATAGAATACTTCTGTCATTGATGCTTGATACGCATGCTTGTTCAATAGTACGAAACAAAAATACGCACGTGCAAACATAGACACAGGAAAAATACAGATAAAGACACAGACACCGATACATATAGACACTAGCCTAAAGCATCGACACAATGCATATGGCTATTATGGAACAGTGTATACAGAGCAAATATGAATGCTTCATAAAAAACCCTCCCACAAAAATCTACCCACAATCCCGTATCACATAGCATATGGTGTATATACAAGATGATAAACGCATACGTTCCTCGAACGCCTGCAAATATCATTAATAGCTTGAACGCAGTACTTCACGAAAGTTATAGTTGTGACTAAATTTGACAACGCACAGTTGCACTTTGTACAGGCAATATCAAGCAGCACCAACAAGACTCATACTCTGGAACAGATTGATGCGTCCAAGACTGCTTTAAGAATTTGCCGCTGTGAGAGCTTCCACCATGGCGTCGCCTATCAGTGTTTGGCAGGTAATCATCGTCCGAACTGGTTCTACTTTTGTGTCTCTTTCTTCGCGAATTATGCTTCCTCTTTTCCCTGCTGCTAGTTATTCATTAGACACTATGAGTTTCCCAAATACGACGAATAAGGCACTTTAAAATATCGGCTACTATGGAACGAATCTCTAACTATATACTGACACAATTGTCTACTTACGTTTGTATTGTAATTCTTAGTGTCTTTAAAATGATTGCCATACGAGGTATCGGGGTGTACTGTATATATCTATCTACCTTGCGAGTCACCAAGCAAATGTCATATTCAACAAAGTCCTCTCTCACCTTGCTTGCTCGGTAGCGACCACAAAATCATCTTCAGACTCTTCCATGCTCGCAGTAGGACCGTCAACTGAATCGCGAAGAATCTCTGCAGGCACGTTCACAGCCAAATCATCATCGCAAACGTCCAATGTGAGATCAACGCTTTTAGCCCCGTCGTTATCATCCATATCCAGCGCAGAAGCAGCTCTCGTAGAATCGGTGACAGCAAAGCTGTTGTAATCGTCATCATCGTCCGTGTCGGCGTGTTCGAGCACAACCGGTACGTGGACGTAGGTGTGGTCTTTGTCTGAAGGTGGTTTGATTGCATCCTTACGCCACACATTTCTTGTGTTCGACCTGGGCGTGGACTTCGGCGTGGACTTCTTAACTCTGCCCCGACTGTTATTATTTTTCCTCGACTGATGTTTATGGGGTTCTGCAGCAGTGTGCAATTTATCCTCAGCACCGTCTGTAGTATCATGTAAGAAAATGAGATGAGGAAATGCTCAATATAAACGAGCACTTCAACTTATAAGCTTTTTTCCAACATGCAAAAACCATTTGGACATGGATAAGCGGCAGAGAGGCCACCGGACAGATACAGACACATACCGTTGTTGATACCGAGATTAGGAATTTTTATCTTAATACTTCTATCATTACTCCTGTAGAAATTTTCATCGCGACCACTAGGTTGCCAATCCATTTCCTCATTCGTAGATATGTATTTAGTTTCAATTTTGGGTTCGTCGGGTTTTGGAACAGCGAGCTTGACAATCATACTCTTTTGTATTCCCGATGGCAGACTACGACGTTCCAATTCAACTGCACACTGCGCCTCCAGTGCATCCAATATGTCAGTACAATTCTTGATCGAATCTGGGATGTGCATCTTGTGCTTCGGCGATTTGGCCCATTTCCGCAGCTAGAAGGATGGAAGGATCAGCATGATAGTGTAAGAATCGTGCATCTAAACGAATTTAGAATAACGCATTCACTATCGTCAGGATAGGGGCGTGAGCGCAATATGTAGAGACAAGGATTAAGCGGCTCTAGTAGCCAGGGCGTGACGTACCACCCGCACAAAGCTGATGAAGTCGGTCACGATAGCCGTCGCAACTTGAGGATCGACATCTGAATACGGGATTGAGGCAGGTAATTAATATCAATAGGAGGGTAACAACCAGGATAGACTCCTTAGAACACGGGAGCACAACTGAAGAAACCCACCCACATTCTTACTGAAGAAATAAATGATTGAGTAAATGCACTTAAAAAGTATTGATCGATTAATTCATTATAGTTTCATACTTCTGAAGCGTTGCTGGTATTTCTCTGCCACAAACCACATCATCCTCTCGAACATGGGGAACTGGAAGCGAGGTTTTACTCGCATTGATAGCTCCATTGTATATACTGATCGAGTAAAACAAGTAGCAGTTAGTTAAGCTCCCACGGTAAAAAGTGATACTGCCTGATCAAGCGCTGCGAAGCATAAATACAAAGTACCATAGAGTTCATACCTGTCAGCTGCATATTTACAGCGTGCTCGTGAATGAAGTTCCCACCGAACACTAAGGAGTCCTCTGGCGTGTAGACTGCGTGAATCCAACCTACACGACACCAGCATAGATGTAAGAGAATAGAACAAATTTCGTTCGCAAATATCATGTCGATTGTTTCTCAACGATCGAATTCAGTTCGATCACAATAAAAACGGATGTCGAATTGACATTTCACCGAAAAAAGCACAAACAAATGCATTTAAGAATGGTTCACCATACCTGACGGAATAAAGAGTGTATTACCAGGGAACAACGAAACTTTATAGCATTGCTCGACATGGTCGCCCAGGAAGTTCCGAGATTGACTGTGCCCATTTGCCCAACGTTTATAAATCGATAGATTTTGGGTTGTAGGCGGAATGAAGAAAAAGTCCTGCAGGAGAATGCGAGAAACAAATTACTTCAAGCAGATAGTGTAAAGGCCACTAAAAATAAACTAAAGGATAAATCCACTCTAGAAGCAATAGTGACATACTTACCTTCTGACCATTGACAACATGATACCAGACTGAAGTGCCTCCAAAATCAATATGAAAGTCTGTATAAGAATCCTGAACGCCCATTAAACAGTACTTTTGAACTCGTGGTTTACTTCGTGGGGACGGCCAAACGTGATCGATCCAATCGATTTCTCTTACAATCTGAGGTGACAGGACTTTGCGCGCCAATGGCGTGCCACTGAACTCCAGGCTAATTACATTGAAGATCTGTATAATAGAGGGGTAGAAATGAGTTTGAAATTGCGCAGTGAGGATATAATTAAATGCCCAGTCTACTTGTATGGATATGATGACACTGCGACACTCAAAAAAATACAATGTATACTTAACTACAAATTAAAATTTCACTCCCTTGATACACAAACCTTTTCCCTCTCTTCCGCTGGCGTGTTGTAATATTCTACCCACTTCTGTAAAGTCCAGCCAGCCTTCGAATTTCTCTGCGAGCCCACTTCCATTACTTCCACAGCACGTTCCGGGTCATTCAGAATTCGGAGAACGTCACTCACAGAGAACGGTTGTTTTGGTATCTACAAGTTTATGACAATAGGACCATGAGGAAGAAAAATCAATATTACTCGCTTGGCGACCACGTAATACATATATACATATATACATACATACATACATACATATATATATATATATATATATGTATATATACATACACACACACACACATACACACACACACACACACACACACACANATATANATATAT